AACATGGGTATCCAGATCCCGCTGTTGGTTATTGGCCGGAGAGATGTCTCGGTCATGTCTGCATGGTTCCCGAACCCGTAGTGTCTACACACTTAAGGTTCGGTGATGCTAGAGTTGTTATTGGAAATAGTATGTGGTTACCGAAGGTTGTTCGGAGTCCCGGTGAGATCTCAGACGTCACGAGGAGTTCCGGAATGGTCCGGAGATAAAGATTTATATATGGGAAGTCCTTATTCGGTCGTCGAAAGTGTTCGGGGTTTACCGGTATTGTACCGGGACCACCAAAGGGGTTCCAGGGGTCCACCGGGAGGGTCCACTTGCCCCGGAGGACCCTATGGGCTGAATATGGAGGGGAACCAGCCCCTAGGTGGGCTGGGCGCCAACTCCTCCCTAGGGCCCATGCGCCTATGGTTGGGGGAAACCCTAAGGGGGGCGCCCCACCTAGCTTGGGGGGCAAGCCTCCCCCTTGGCTGCCGCCCCCCTTAGATGGGATCTAAGGGAGCCGACCTCCTCTCCCCTTCCCCTATAAATAGTGGGGGGTGGGAGGGCTGTCGCACCCCTTCCCTTGGCGCAGCTCCTCCCTCCCCAACACCTCATCCTCCTCCATAGAGCTTGGCGAAGCCCTGCAAAAATACCACGATCTCCACCACCACGCCGTTGTGATGCCGGAGCTCTTCCTCAACTTCTCCTCTCCTCTTGCTGGATCAAGAAGGAGGAGACGTCCCCGGGCTGTACGTGTGTTGAACGCGGAGGCACCGTCCATTCGGCGCTAGATCAGATCTTCCGCGATTTGAATCGCCGCGAGTACGGCTCCATCATCTGCGTTCTTGTAACGCTTCCGCTTAGCAATCTTCAAAGGTATGAAGATGCACTTCCTCTCTCTCTCTCTCTCTCTCTCTTGTTGCTAGAATCTCCTAGATGGATCTTGGTGGTACGTAGGAAAATTTTGAATTATTGCTACGTTCCCCAACACCGTCAGCATCGCCTCCCCTGTGCAAGCCGCTCCCCTGCCTCCCCGCACAGAGAGCGTCAAGGTCGCGCCGGAGCCGGCTCGTGAGGACCCAGATGGGGCCCTACAGGCCTAGATCTGGTCCGGGGTCACGCCGCCGACCGCCCAGCACCACCGAACCGCCCCGCCGCCAAGTGGAGGCACCACCACTGCTCACGCCGCCAGCCACCGCCACCAGGATGTCGGACCGCCACCGGTTGAGCACCACTGCCACCTCCCCCCGCCTTGGGAAGGAGGAGCACGTGCGGGAACGGGATGACCCACCACCGCCGACACCACCTGGCCAGATCCGGGGGCGACCACCGGTGGCGGCGGGGAGGAGGGAAGGAGGGGTTGGATGAGGGGAAAGGGGGCGCACGCCGCCCCGGGGGCCTCCTGGGGAGACGGCGGAGGTGGCGGGACTAGGAGGAGGGGAGAGGGGGGCAGAGCGGCCCAGGGTGCGCGCGCCGGGCGGCCGGCGACCGCAGGAAGGGGTTGGAGCACCGCCGATGGTGGGGGAAACCGTAGCGGGAGGAGGGATGGTCCCGCCCATCCACCTCCGTTCTTTGTCCCCGCAATCGGAGCCTGTTGTAAATGTGGCCTAGAGGCAATTATATTTGTATTATTTATTTTCATGTTTATATTCTATGTTATAACTGCTATGATTCTTGAATATGTGATTCGGAGGAAAACTCATGAGCATGTGAATGGTAAAACCTGATTCCTCGTCTTGCCTCTAGGACTAGCGCAAGTGTTGTGTGATGATTATGTTTTCGTTTTCCTGATCATGGGCATTTGGTTAAGTGTAATGAGGATGCCAAACAAACTTGAGAGTGTGATGTTAGTAGAACGATCATATTGAATTGACCCAACTTGTCTGTTATACTTTGAGATGTTATCGTCACAAGTCTATAGATATAATGCAGAGAGTTTATGCATGCTTTAGTTCTTTAGACCATGAGAGTATCATAGTCACTTCATACCAAACGCTAGACTTTGGGATTGCTCGAACGTCATCTGTAACATGATGATCATAACGACAACTTTCGGATTCATCGGAAAGTGTGACAAGGGGCTAGGTAGCTCAAGATGGGATTTGCTCCTTCGACGATGGAGAAATATTCTTAGGGCCCTCTCAGTGTGACGTCATCCATCATCGTCTGGCTAGACACATGAGACCAGGTCACAGGGATGCTGGAACACGACAACGAGAAAGAATAAGAAAACTTGTAACAAGGAGACCGGTATAGTGAGCATGTGTATGACTCGAAGGGATACCAATATATCTCACCTCGAGTTTTGTAAAGTATCATGAAGCAAAAGGAATAGTATATGATAACCAAAGGTTCATTCGAATTCCATTTGTATGAGTATAGGGATCAATATGGATGTCCATGGTTCCGCTATTGATCATTGAACGAAAGGTTTTTTTTCGTTCATGCCTATATTTTCACCGAACCTGCAAGGTCACACACTTAACGTTTAGTAGTTTGTTAGAGAACAAAGAGTTGGAGGAGAATGATAGAATGGGCTCTGAAAGAGTTTTGGATAGTTTCGAAAGAGTTTCGGATGTTCCCAAAAATGTTCTGGGAGGTCCCGGGAAGGTCCTGGGAACTTCTGGTAATGTCTAGAAGGTTATGAAACCTTCCGGATAAATCCAGAGGGTCCATGGTGCGAGACACCTTGGCTGGGCCAAGGGGTAAGGCCCACGAGGCCTTAGGTTGGTGCATAAAGGGGTTGTATGGAAGGCAAGGGCTAGACGCCAGGGTTTATGACATCTGCCCCCGGGCCAGATGCTGGAGTCCGTGGCGTTTTCGTAAATGCTGGGATCCATGGTGTTTAGCCCTGGAGTATGAGGACGACTCATCTTTGAGGTCCAAACCGACTTTGGGGAGGCCCCCTCCCCAAGTTGCGACTACAGACCTCCGCATATAAATAGAGGGGCCAGGGCAACCCTAGAACACATCAAATCTCTTGGAGGTTTCCCTGCTGCTTTCTTGCATCCAGTTTCTATCTCACGTCTAGTTGATCTAGACGTCGACACCGCTAGGCTACCTTTCCCTCTTGTTTTCTCAGCGGTTCATAGCTCTGGACGGCAAAGCTCTGCTGAACCACTACTTCGGTACGTGTGCAATCCGTAGAGGCGTCATGCTTTCGGTGCTTGTTTGAGGGATCGTCCGAGAGACGGTTCGAGGGACTTCAAGTTCGATCTACGGCATCTGTTGATCAGTACAGATGGAAGTACGTGTAAGGGCTTATACAGGTCTAGGCCCTCTCCGGTGGAGGTAATATGCTACTCTTGTGGTGCTCTTAGTTCTTGGCATAAAGTACAATAGGCCCTCTCCGGTGGAGAAGAGAGGATTGGCTGGAGAATCGGGAGAGCAATTCGAATACTAAAGCAAGACAAAAACAGTGGCTGAAGCTTTGGAAGGCTAATGTCCCAGGGCATATCAGAAATTTTGCGTGGAGGCTAGCCAAAAATTCAATTCCTACGGGTGAAACTTTAAAGCTTCGACATATATCAGATGATGACACTTGCTTTTTGTGCAACTCAGCTCGAGACTCGTGGCGACATGCATTGTTGGATTGCCGTATGTCCAAGTGTGTTTGGGCTCTTTCAGATGAGGGTTTAGTGGAGCACATGATAGCGTGTGAACATGAAGATGCAAGGATAGTGGTTAGCAGTCATGCAGGATTCAGTCAGCGAGCAAGATTTCAGAAAGATCCTAGTAACCTTGTGGGCCATCTGGTGGGCGAGAAGAAAAGCAAAACATGAGGAGATATTTCAGAGCCCACTGTCCACTTTTACCTTCATCCAGAACTATCTTGCTGAACTGGATTTGGTGCCGGCAAAACAGAAGGCAAAGCCTACGACAGTGGCTAGCACAACACAGAGGAAATGGCTCAAGGGACCTGTAGGAGTGGCAAAGTTTCATGTGGATGCTGCTATCTCCAAAATTTCAAGCGTGGGAGTGAGTGTGGCCATCTGTCGCAACGACCATGGAAAGTATCTAGGTGCGTCTGTACGGGTGTTTGAAGGACTAGTCGATCCGGAGAGCCTGGAAGCACATGCATGTTGTGAGGCCCTTTCTTTGGCAGAGGATCTCCACTTATCACGAATCAGAATAGCTACAGACTGCTTAGCTACTGTGAACCACCTGAAGAGCAAGCTTATGGGTATTTCTTCGGCCATTATTACAGACATCGAGAAGAGTGTCACTTCGTTCGTATCTCCAGAAAGGAGCCTTGGATGAGTCTTGGATATACTGATGCCTTGGTGATTTCTATGGCAGCAAAGCCACCCTACACAACTGCCGAAACCCCGCCGACCTGCGAGTGCCAAGGACTCTAAACGGTGCCTCCAAGAAAGTAATGACATAGCTGTCGCCGCCGCCCGCTCCGACGGAGCTTGGGTTTTCACCTGAAGAACAAGATATGATTATGAACTGGAAAGAACCGGAGATAGTTCTTACTTAGCAAAACCGGAGGAAAAACATGCACGTTTTTCATTGAACTTGTTATGCATAGAAAAAGAATCAAAAGATTTCCAGCGGCAGGCATCACCGTAAGCCATTGCTGAATTTTGCATTACGCACTTCATATCATCACAGGTCTAACAAAATCCACAACAAAATAGCCAGAACCAGATCACTGCAACGAGCAATTAATTTCTCCTACTCGATCACCACTTAAAGAACCCATACACGAACACACAAGTTACATGCCACAACTTCTCGTCCACTAGCTGGGACTCAACTTAGGTTCAATAAAATTGCAGTCAACCGAGCTTACATTCAAGATAATTTCAGTGGAGTGAGCGCTGAAATACTCCTCTCTTTCTTCTGAAAGAGATCACACGGTATGGCTCAACAACTAGTTCTGCTGCAACCATATTAGTGCAGTTGCCTCGTACACAAACTACTCCCAGTTCAGCTCCCACTCCCAGTGGCAACACGTTTCAATTATTCAGCGACAAATTCACAACGATACAGCTACGCAGGAACCTAGCTAGTTAGTCCAGCAGAACAAGCCTGCCATCAACCTTCCTGAACACGTGGACAATCATCGTCGCCTTATGCACGCCTTTGATCAGCTCGAAGATGCAGATGTGGCCCTCGCGCAGCTTGTTGTCGCGGACGAACTTGCTCCATGGACTGTTGCTGAAACCCCTTAACTTCGAATGACAGTAGTACCTCACGCACCACTTCCTTCCCCTGCTGGGTCTCAGGAGCAGGATGTCATGTGACCTCGCCGCGAGATGCTTCGCCGCAAACTTTTTAGGGATGGTCTGCATACAGAACATTAGTCACTAACACAGAAAGCTTCGTGGTAGACGGTTCAGAATGTCTATCAGAGACGGTTTCCTAAACCATCTAGGTAATCCAGTCTGTGATTTGTAGAACAACTGAACTGACCAGCAAGTTGTTCCCCTTTTTAACGTGATTCTTCCCCAGGACGGCGAAGTACACGGGATTGCCCTGTTGGATCAACGCTGACCTGAATATCTCCTCTTGCTCATCGCTGGTCAGGCCATTGGCATGCCTTGAGTAGTAGTAGTTGGACTCAGCATGTTCCTTGTCACTCTCCTCATCCTCGGTGGCCTCGGCCTTAACTGGATATCTGCGCCTTTTTTGAGATTCGAGGTCTTTCCCTGTAAAAACACAAATGGGCATTCCAAAATGATCAAGTAAAGAGACTGGAATGGCAAAGACAAAGTTTTCCCCAAAAAAGGAGTCTATTTCTATGTTGACTCATAAATTCATTTTTTTAAGTTGGCGATCCTGAGCATTGTTTTTTAATGCCATATATGCAGGTGTCAATGTGTTGCATACTCACCTTGTAAGTGATGAGCTCCTTCAAGAGAATGAACAACCATTGTCACTTCACCGTTGTTTTTCGATACTTCAAATAGGTAGATGTCACTTTCCCGCAACTCGTTGTGGAGAACGAAGCACGACCAGCCAACAGAAAGCATGCGGGAACCATCAGTGATAACCTTCAAATTGTCTATCCATATGTTGCTCTTATGAGGATGGCAGAGTGTGATGAATTGGTCTCCATCTGGAAGGTATTTGGAAGCGTAATCCTTGCAGATGACCTGTTAGAGTCGACTGGATCATCAGACCTTGAAATTATTGAAGATTATAATTTACGAAGAGATACTATAATTTTAAAAATTCCAACAAAATTTTAGACAAGAGATTTGAACATTAAATAACAAATTTTGCAGGAGTCTCACTGAATCTGTAGAGGATACTGCACACATACCAGAGATCCAGACATACTTGTCTTGTTCATGGCTGTGATGTAAAATGGAATAGCAGGCCTAACTTTCCTCACAAGCGCGTCGACTTCTGCCTTCTGCGCTGTAGTCAGATTGCACCCCATTGCTAGGACATAGCGAGGCTTGGTGGTTTCCCGAAGGCCACCTGAATTCAGGGTGTCCTCTGGAGATGTGACACCTTCAGCTGCACAACGCCGATCATCAAGACATCAGTTAGCAATTACAGGTACCAATGAGAATATACGTGCAACCCTTCAATTCTTTACCTGATCTCAGTGAAGGAGAGTACAGCGGAGTCATCTTTTTAGTTTTCCTACTGTTATTATCGCGTGATTTGCATTCTCGACGCCTTGTTTCTTTGAGGAATGACCGATCATGAGATATGCCCGTTTCTGGTAGATTAGGAGTGTGGTTCATGACAATGTGGAATACTTCTTTCTCACAACCACTTGGGTCAAATATTAGGACTTTAAAGTGAGAGTCCCCAATGTATCTGAACACCAGCAAGTCATGCTCTTTTAGTCCATAAGCACTGGCAAATGCTGGCCATCCAGATCTAAGGACTATCTTGTCAGATCATTGATAACCTGAATGTTGTATACGTTTCCATCAGGAGCTTCTAGCTTCATAACTTTAGATATCCTGCCTCTGAAATTGTTCACAAATTTCTCTGGTATACTCTGCAGGAACAAACAACAAAGCAATCAGCAAATTATATATCTCTGATCAAGAAGACATTTCATCAAGGTGGCAGGAAGGGCATTGATTATACAGGGTCTTACGATTTCTTGACGGAAATCACCAAACATGAGCCTCAAGAAATGCTTCTGCCTATCATCCATGTGATGCCAATAGAAATGCACATCGCAGTGCTCGCACCTTCGATGGGACCCACCGTTGCTTGATCCACCATTCTGGCATCGCCTTTCGCTCAGCGGTGATTGATCAAGACGAATGTCTTTTTCTTGGGCATTAGGACCGTAGTTCACGAGAACGTGGAACACTTCCTTCTCACAGCAACTTCCAAAATCAAATATCAGAACTTTGAAGTGAGAATCCCCCATGTACCTAAAGACCAGGAAATTGTCCTCTTTTACTTCGTAAAAGCTGATAAATACCCCCCATCCAGATCCCAGGACTATCTTGTTTAGATCCTTGGTAGCCTGAACGTTGAATATGTTTCCATCAGGCGCTTCTAGCTTGATAACTTCAGAGATCTGACCTTTGAAATTCTCCACAAACTTATGTGGTATGGTCTGCATGAACAAGCAAACAACGACATTATCATTCTGAACTGGGATGGAATTCCATGTGAAGGAGAGAAAGGGCATGGATGCACCAGGGCTTGCCATTCTATCTTGGAAATTGCCAACCATGCACTTGAAGAAATACTTCTGGGTATCATCCATATGACACCAATAGTAATGTGCATCGCAGCCCTCACATCTTTGAAAGGATTTGCTGCTGTTGTTGTGACCACTCCTGTTACCTTGCTCATAGTATTAATCCGGTGCCATGACAAATGTATGATACAGTAGCCTAAAATATGAAGATGTAGTAGTGTGTGTTATTATGAGCAGTCTGTTCCAACCTCACGTTGATGCATATATTCGATGTCAGATAAATCCAAGAAAGGTGTCCAATACTGGAGCAAGTTTTTTTCAGGACAAACAGGAAGTAAGCTATGCACTTCAGGTGATCTACAGATTTAGCAAGTTTATGATCTAGTAGAAAGACAAGAAGCCAACACATCTTTGCCAACAGCCAGTACTTATTTCAGAGGAAAATAAAAAGATGTAGTAATATGTGTTATTACCAGCAGTCTGTTCCAACTTCACATGGATGCGCATGCATCATGCCAGATAAATCAAAGAAAAATGTCTAATACTAGAACCACTTTAGGTTCCTGTGTGCCATCATAAACATGATCTGAAGGTATAGCAAATTTATGATCTAAAGATGTTGCAAGTACAAAGACAAGAAGCCTCTTACCTTTGCCCAGGAGCTCTTTGAACAAGCCAATACTTTTGCAGAGAAGCAGCCTGTACGCCAAGGATGCCTAAAATACTTCTGCAGAGAATCAGCCCCAAGCCCAGAGAAAAAGTGCAGCCTAAAATAGGACCAGAAGACCATAAACATGATCTTAAGCTGCAGCAAGTTTATGCTCTAACTCTTAAGGATGTAGAGAGTAGAAAGACCAGAAGGCTATTACCTTTGCCAAGAGCCAGTACTTCTGCAGAGAAGCAGCCAGAATGCCAAGGATGCCCAGGCCCAGAGCAAAAGGGCGTACATATATGGAGATACACGCCAAACCAGCTGATACTAGTAGTGTTATCATATCTTCGGTTGAAAAAGGAGTCTCGTTTCAAAAGTTGTTCAGAGAGATGCATATGAAAGCATGACACGGTTACAATCGAGAAGGAATCTGGTGACATATGCTAGAATCATTTCCCTACTTTTAGCAATGCCAAGGAGATAAAGGGAGCACAGCAATACCCAGAGGGTGTTGTACAAGTTAGATTCTGTCAGTATCTTGTGGTGCAGTGCAGTGCAGTGCAGCCGAGCCTCCATGGCAAAAACGACAAGAGATCAAAACAAACAAAGATGTTACAAGAAATTCTACATTGTAGCTTCAGTGCCAAGGTTTCAGTTTTAGAGTCAGGAGCTCAAAATGTACATCATTTATCACTCCAAGGAACAACAAATAACAAGTAGAAGGTTAATGACAGGAGAAGCGGGGAGAGGAAAAAAATTTGACATTGGATTGAACTCTATTGTTCTATATGGAACGTAATGAAGAAAAGGAGAAGGTTTCGCTTACATTGTCGAATCGAGTGAACAGAGCAGGGGATCACTCATCAGGTCAGAGCCAGCCAGGTCTAATCAGAAAGAATCTTTCAGATATGATTTCTATAGATCCGCGCCCCCCGCCTACTGCCAGCGCCAGTACGGCCTCGGATAACCCAGCGCCAGAGTCATGGGGGCCCTCGGTCCGGCGGCGCCGCTGTGGGTCGCCTGGATGAGGGCGACCCCGCGGGCACGTGGAAGGCGGCGGTCGGTCTGTTCCCAGACGCGCCGGCGCCGGCGCCAGTGAAGGCCGGCGGGTCGCGCCAGAGCTTCATCAAACTTTTGGTCATTTGCCTCAAAAAGAAAAAATCAAACTTTGGTCACTGGGACTCATGTCAGGGTGTGCGTTCGGTTTTTTCGGTTTGATTTGGTTTGGTTTATACGATTTCCGGTTTATACGATTTTTATACTTTGGTTTATACGATTTTATACATAAATACGGTTCGGTTTCGATAATAACCATTTAATTTTGGTTTGGTTTTGGTAATAACCAAAGTAACCAAAGCTGACGCGGATTTTTGAATAACACATATTTTTTTGTCACATGATTCAATCTGTGTATGTAGGTTAGTTTTTTCTTTTAAGAATTGTATATTAGATTAGACCATTAGATGGTAGACATGATTTGGTGGCTTATGTACGTATGACGAGCAACCGATCGAGGCATATATGACAGATGAGGCATTGAGCCATTGACAAAGATGTATGTACGTACTAGGAAAATCTGAGGACAAGACAGGGAAAGAGCAACCCGTGCGCTAGCCTCCAGGTTTTTTAGGTGCAAAAAAATATGGCGTGAAACAGCACAACGAGCGCTAGCCTGTAGGCTGCAGCCTCCAAACTCCCTTTTCCCTTTTTAGCTATCGCGCTAGGCAGCCCAAGGCCCAGGCCCAAGCACCA